CTCCCGAAGTCCCCACCTCGGCGTCTGAAGGAACAGCGTCCTCTCTGACCCCGAGCTCTTCAGCAACTCCCTCGACCTCTACCTCTGAAGCCCGATCCGGGTCTTCCTCCAAATTTTCCTCAACCTCTAGCCTCGCCGCCTGATCGAAGAGTTCAGACCACTGCGAAGGCTCAAAAGGCTGCGAAAGCTGTGAAAATTTCTTATACCCGGGGTATAATTCAGCAGGATGTGAGCAGCACGGGCCAAACCCGTTGTCACCCGTGAATCTCCAAACCGTGATTAGGTCGGCAAAGTTCACCAGCGACCGAAGGGGAGGAGCTGTTTCCCGAGCAGGAATATCTGCACACACAAAATAGTCATGAGTACGGGAAGTCTGGAGAAAGAAATAATAAACCCAAAGGAACCGACGTACTTGTCGTTCTCCATTCCAGGGGGCATAACAAGTCATTATACTCGGGACCAACACCTCTCTGCCAAGATCCCTTGAAGATTAGAATATCGTCCTTGTACCCCTTGTCCGAGTCGGGAAGATGAGTTACAAGGTACATGGAGGGGTCATTGGCTTTGAGGTAGAAGTGTTGGTGAGGCATGACTCTAAGGAGGGAATAACAAAAAAGGAGATCGTTGAGCCCAATATTTACCTCGAGGCGCCTATTGAGCTCTAAGACCCCCATGATTATTCGGAAGACATTAAGGCAGCATTGCCCGGGGAAGAGGCGAAATTAAAGAGGAACTGAAGAAGCAGGGGGGTAAAGGAAACCTAATTCCACCCTCTATGATGGCCTTGGTATAGAAGGGCATGGCATCCTCGGCCCCGAGGGTAGAAGAGTGCACCACAGGGTCAAAATCCTCTACGTCTACGCACGGAGGAATACCGTACTTGGCCCTAAACCTATCGATCTGCTCATCGCCTTTTACCTTATATTTCCCTGACCCCGAAGGACCAGCCTGAGGATTCTCGGGAGCAGGGCGACGACGAAACATCTCTAAAAAAGTAAGAAAGAAGAGGGTATTTGTTCTTGAAAATCCCTGAGGAAGTTTCCCGAGGGTTAAATCGCTATGTATCGACCGGATGACACCTCCAGTCAATCGGAAAACAAAAGGCTAGGAGGGAGAAAAGAGAGAGGGTTCTGAAACTCACCCGAACGTCAAAATGGAGTTTTTTCTGGAAAACCTTAAAACGACTCCCTCCAGAAAGTTCAGAAATCAACGATGGGTCTGTTGGCTTTAAGATTTTGAGGGAGAATGAGCAGTCGACGATGGCAGAAGAAACAAAACTCCGGCGAAGATTCAAGAAGAGGTACTCTGGAGAAAGTTCGAAATGGCAAAACGAGGAAAACGGAAGAGGAGACCCCTTTATATAGGGGCAATTGTCATCATTGGGCGCGAAAATCGAAACGGCGCATTTAATGCGCACGACATCCCAAGTCGGGGAAAGCGGCTCGAGGCCATGATGAAGGACGGGTGGTAGTTGGGAAACCCTTCGTCTCCTTACAACGCATGTCCTCGGTGTCAGAAGATCGAAGGCTGGGGGGCAGTTGATGGGACTTTTCTGAAAAACCCTATGATGAAGACACGTGTCCTCGGTTTTACTAAAGCACTGTTGCTAAGATCAAGCACCATCGGCGCACAAGGTCCTCGCCCCCGAGGTACCGACATATAGGATCATACATTCAGTATATTTTTTACAATCGACACGTGGCCTCGGCCTGATATGTACCTCGGTCGGCATACCTCCCTCGGTCCCCGAGATGAGCCTTTCCTCGGTGCCGAGAGGTACCCCCTCCTGGACGCTTCCTCTACTCCAGGATATGCTATTGACGTACAGGTCACTAGCCTAGGCTAGTCTAGGCTATTCATCATGACCTCGTCTTACACAAGTAATGTTAGAACGTACTGGAATACAGAGGTCACAGCTAATAGGGGATGGACGCGTGGCATATGATATCACATCAAAGACAGACACACCGCATGCCGTTGCTGACAGGCGACTTGGGAAAACAAACAATTAATTGCACCATCCCTTGATGAGACCGCATTCAATGCGGTAAGGCTCGGAAATGAAAGGCAATAAATGCTCCTATTACAGAGCATTTATTGCATCCTCCCCGAGAGGAGCACATTGTACCGTCGGCATCCCGACGACCCAGCATTGATTGCTCGGGACCCCGAGCAGTTAATTAGAGAAGACATTCCTCATCAGAATCAAATGTACACGCTACCTGTGCCTAATGATCACCTACTGACCACACTGACAGCAATCATGAGCTTTTTAAGGTATAAATACTCCTTGCAAAAGGCAAAGTGGGTATGCAACAACAAACTCTCTACTACAATACACAGTGTTTTCTCTATCCTCTCTCTCTCTCTCTCTCAAAGACTAACTAGATCGTCGGAGGGGATACGCCGGAAAACACTCCGGCACCCTTCTAACTTGTTCTTTTTTGTTCCAGGAATCTCTTCCAACCTTACAGGATCGCTCTTCCTTTCCCAGGGTCTCCCGTTGCCGTTCCAGGTTACCACTGTACCTTGCAGGCTGTCCCAAGCAGCGTGTTTGGTCACTCCACCGGCTCACTCCAGTTCACCAGGGGAGAGATCTGTTTCCGTTTTTTATATTGTGCAGGATCTTGCACGCACAATAATGCTATGCTTGTTGCTCCAGTTACTTTGGAGGAGCTTAGAACTACAGTCTTCTCAATGTCTATCTACAGTGCTCCTGGGCCAAATGGATATTCAGGTCAGTTCTTTCGTAGTACTCGGGACATTGTAAAAATGGATTTGTTAGTTGCTACTAATTATTTCTTTACTGGAGGGGAAGTGCCCAGGTTTGTGAATGCTACTGTACTAAGAAGGAGAACCCAATATCCCTTGCAGAATTTAGGCCAATTAGTTTGTGTAATTTCTTATACAAGATTTTTACAAAAAATCTGACAACAAGGCTGGGGGTGTTGCTTCCTAAGCTGATTTCAGAGGAGTAGCAAGGATTTGTTATAGGTTGGAACATACGAGATAGTATTCCACTTGCACAACTAATGGTTAATGAGCTAGACAGGAAGGTAGAAGCTGGAAATGCAATTGTGAAGCTAGATATGATGAAGGCCTTTGACAGACTAGAATGGGACTTTCTACAACAGACTTTAACTAATTTTGGGTTTTCTGAAGCTTTTCTGAAAATAATTTCCAATTGTCTTCATAATCAGAATATCTCTTTGGTGATTAATGGGATTAATTAGGCATGACTTTTTTCTAAAATCAAGAGGACTTAGACAGGGGAACCTTTATCCCCCAATCTGTTCATTCGAGTAGAGGAAGTTTTAAGTACATTACAACAAAAATTATTTTTTGCGACGAATTTTTATACGTCGCCAAAAGTGTACTATCAATGACAATTTCATAATTTTGTCGCAATTTTTTTTTGTTTGACAATTTTTTTGCAAAAAACATCGCGAAAAGGTGATTTTCTCCAATGTTTTTTGGCGCATTAGAAATGGGGGGAATTGAAGATTTTTACATTTTGCGACGTTTTTATAAATTCGTCACAGAAGATAAATTTTATTTTTTATTAAATAAAATTATTATTTCATGACATTTTTATATTCGTCACAGAATGTAATTTTTGTAATTTTAAATTAAACTTAAAATATTAATGGTGATGTTTTCTAAAAAGTCGCAAAAAGGTAATTTCCCCCCCCCCCAATGTTTTTTTGTGCGGCAATTGAAGATTTTTTCATTTCGCGACGTTTTTATAAATTCGTCGCAGAACATAAATTTTATTATTTCTCGATATTTTTATATTCGTCGCAGAATATAATTGTTTATTTTTAAATTAGACTAAAAATATTAATGGCGTCGTGAAATGGTAATTTCCTCCCGATTTTTTTTGGCGCGTTCATTGAAGATTTTTACATTTTACGACATTTTTATAAATTCTTCGTAGAACATAAAATTTATTTTTTGGCAAGTTTCATTTTTGACAATTTTTGCGATGTTTTTTTAAATACGTCGCTAAAAAGAGATTTTCTCCTAATTATTTTTAGCGCAAAAATAGAATATTACTGCAGTATATTTCGTGACATTTTTTTTCAAGTCGCAAAAAATATGAGTCCCTCCCTTTTTTTTCCCAACTAATCAAGAATTAATAAAATAAAATAAAATATAATTTTATTTTGCGACAATTTTTTTACATCGCAAAAAATTGAGTCCCTCCCTTTTTTCACTATTATCAGAACCGGATCGGACCGGCTGATCGGACCGATTCAACCGTAAACCGGGACCCTAACCGGTCCGGTTCCTTAGTTGAACCGTTTAAGGAAACGAACCGGCTAAAAATCGGAAAATCGACCGATTTTTATAAAAAATCAATTTTTAAAAATTAAATTACATAAATAAATTTTTTTGCTCTAAATCAGTAAATAGTTGATTTTTTTTAACCTTATTCTTGGAAAAATTATAAATGACACCTCTTCTTTTTCTTTATAATTTACTTGAACCTCTTTACTTTGCTTTAAAATACAATAACCCCCACTTTGTTACTTAATTTCATTAATTTTATGACAAATTTTATGTATTTTATACTTATTTTATATTTTTTAGCTAAATTATTAAGTTTTATAATTATTATATATATATTTTTATTTTTTTATTATATGACCAGTCCGATCAGTTGACCCAATGATTGAAACAGTAAACCATTGACCCGGTTCCCTTGCTGATTCGATGACCGGTTCGGTTGTGATGAGATTGCCTTTTTTACCCCCAAGTAATCAAGAATTAAAAAAATAAAAATAAAAATTTAATTCGCGACGTTTTTTTTTTACTTAGCAAAAAATGTGAATCCCTCCTCTTTCTTATTTTCATTTGCTTGGTGTTTTGTTCAGTAAAGCAAGAATCGATGTCTCACCGAAGATCTTCCTCACAACCTCTCTCTCTCTCTCACTGTTGAAGATCCACAGCACAGAAGGCTCCACCGACTGAACTGAAGGCTTCATCGCAAAGCAGGTATGGTCTCTCCACCGATGAAGTTGTTGCTGGTTGTTGATTGTTCCTGGTTTGGGTTGTGTTGATAACTGCGAACCGACTGAAGGTTCCTCGTTGGATCTGGTTTGGGTTGCAATGTTTTTGGTTCAATAGTCATGTTTTTGGGATCTGGAATCGTTGGATCTGTTGATTGGTGCCATTGATTGTCGTCGGTTTAGTTTGTGAAGGGAAGGTTGTCATTCTGTTGATTTTCACTAATTCTATCAACATTTAGTTTGTGAAGGGGAAGTCCCCTGTTTGGCTATTGATTTTCTATTTCCTTCCTTAATTTTCTTTTTCCCTTACTTCCTAATTTCATAATGTTCCAAATATGATCTCATTTCTACGTTTTTAGCAGTAAAAATGGATCTTGAATTTAATTGCTTTCTAATTCCTCCAACTCATCTATTTTTTTTTTTTTGCAATGTAACCAGCAAATGCATCATATTACATGACATTGACTAGCTTCTGATTCTTCCATGGCAGAGCCTTGTTCTCTTCTTTCTCTTCCTCCTCCTCTTTCTCCCAATTTCTGAACCAGTTCTTTACTTTGGATCTCTGTGGCCCCAAGGACTCTCCTTCATCCTCCTCCTCCACTGGATTCTTTGGGTCCATTTTTTGCCCATCCTCTACGGTACTTTCTTTTCCTACTACTTTTAATCAGCTTTTTTTTTCACAGTTTTATGACAATGGCCAATTGTCTATCATTCTTTTACTATTTTCCTTTTTTTCTGTCTTTTCTTGGGTTTTTTTGGGGTGTTGCTTAATGATAAATATTTGGTTTTTCGGTTAATACTGCTTTTACATGCATTCTTGCAATCATTTGTGACATATTATGTGTTTACTGCCACCCTAATAGTGCAACGTTTTAATTTATTTCAACCTTTTTTTTTTTTCTGATTTTAGGGGCTAGGAAGAGATTCCTCTCTCTCTGGAGTCACAGGGTCATGGAAAAAGCAGGATTTGGGAGGCCAATATGACAATGCCAAACATGGAACTTCAGGTTTGTGCTTTAAACCAAAAGTGACACAGAATTTTCCTATGAATCACCTTTCCTTATGGACATTATAACATTAACCATCTTCAGATTCGAAAAGGTGTTTTGTTTCCTTGAACAAATCTGCTTTCAGATTGTTCACTGTGAAATTTTGAGACTGGAAATAATGTGCCAAATAGGGGTTTTTTTTTTTCCTATGTTGTCAGGTTATATGACTCAAAGTGGAGGCATACCCTGCAAGGACAAGAGTTCCATATATCAAAATGAAACAGTAGAACCATGCTATTTCAGCTCATCAATCTACTATGGAGGGCGAGAAGTTTATTCTTCAAATAGCCAGACCGCTACTTCTCAGCACATTGTAAGTGTAGTTCCATCCCTTCATGAATCCCTATGATGTGAGACAATTATGATGTTGGGAGATATATAAACTAGTTGCCCCAATTTTTAATGCTACCACTGATTATTTAGTATTTTTCTTACTTGGATCAGGTCAAGAAAGATGGTGGAGGTGATGATCAGAACGGAAACAACATAAATAGTGCTTCAAGAGGAAATTTTTGGCAGGGTATGATGGTTTGTGGAGTTATTGTGGAAACTTTATGGGGTTTCATTATATAAGGCTTATAATAACTCAACCATTCCCTTTCTACTTACGCAGGGTCTCTGTATTACTGAAGTCTTTATTGAGCTGATGCAAATTCTCCATCCAAGAACCATGGTAAAGTAGTGATTAGTCCTTGCACTGACTGGTTTAAGGTTTCCGTTTCTTTTCTTAGAATAAGCAGCCGTATGCTCTAGATGCATGTCTAGAAAACAAGATGCTAATTTTTTGAAGAAATTAAAAAAAAAAAACATATAATGAAGGCAGGGGTGACTTAAATGAAGAACCACATAGTGCACCTGCATTATCTTCCATCCATTAATAAAATTAGCCAGCTACTGAATCGATTCAAAGATTGTTTTTGGGTTTCTTCATCCACTTGCTGTATAATTTTGTTAGTTCTATACTGTAATTCATATAGGTATGCTGATTGTCCCCCTTTCCTTTTTTTCCCTCTTGTATTTTTCCTTCTCTCAATAGGTTAGGAGGCCATCAAATTTTCTGGATTTCTGTTCCTATGCCTTTCGATATTGTCTAACGAGTTTGTGGATTTCTTGTTTGTTCATGGCTAAGGTTGGCAAACTTCAAATTTATTCCTGTTTGTGCTGCTATCCAGCTTTTATTATTTTTTTTTCTTTTCTAGAGGAGAAGCAGAAGAGCATTGACATAGAGAGCATCTGTCAGTTGCTGGACCTTGTTTTAGGGTCCCAATTTCGTTCCCAAGTTTACTTATTTGTACAGTACATAACATGGTTCAAAGTAGCGGTATCGGCCATGAACTCGGAGGGTACTGATACACATCGGTCGCGGCGTCGCGGCGCGGTATCGGACGATACGCTCAAAACGCAAGATAGAAGCTCCAAAAAAATTTAAAAAAATTCTAAAAAAATAGACATTATCATTTATGCATCATATATCCACAATACATCTAAAAACACATTAAACATAATTAAAATGAAACATAAAATCGCGAGCGAAAATAATTATCATTATCAATGTTCAATATAGACATTTAGGAACATATTGAGCCGTAATCATTGCCACATTGAACGACGATGAGGTTCAAAATCGTCGTTATTGTCTCTAGAATAATACAAATTAGGGTACTGCCCACTATAAGAATTAGAGTACAAGTGTGAATACAGGTCTGATTGGGTTGGTTGAGTTGATTGACTAGATGACCCATAATCAGAGTAATGTGACTGTGGAGGTTGTACTGGCTGGTTCCCATACTGATAGTACCCAAAACCACGATATTCACGGCCACTACTAGCAGAAGACTGATCATATCTATAAAAGTTGACACTATCCGATGTCTTGTTAGAAGATCCATCATGATGTCTCCTTGGAACACGATCATAGTAACCACCAGTACTAGTACTAGTAGATCTCTCAAGATGCGTCGGGCGATGGCCATAATGTCCAGCACTATTAGTACTAGTAGACCTCGGAAGCTGCAAAGGGATACCATATCTTTATGATCCATGTGCATAGTTAGATTCTATACCACTACTTTGATGATGTCCGTAAGACATGTATCCTTCATATGATGTCAATCCCAAATTCTGCATATGATCATCAATATCTTGTCGACTAAGTGAATGATGGTAGCGTCTATGGGAATAATCATCACCAATGGAAGAGTTTAAATTCCTCCATTGTTTCATTGCCCCTGGTCTATATCCATGGTCTGTATCCTGAGTGGCATAGTAATTGTTTTGCCCCTGTGCCCATGACATACTGCCAGGTAGCTGAGTATCATTACCGCCTCCAGTAGTCCCTCCACCACCACTCTTGTTGCTCTCATCTTTATCTCCACCATGATTACTAGCATCATCATCATCAGTACTACTACTATCACCATCACCACCACCACCACCATAAGTATCAGCAACATTATTATCATTATCATCATCAGAAGAAGAATTACTAGAACTGACAAAAATTCTCATAGCCTTTTTACCCTTATTAGTTGGTCTCGTATCTTTTTCAGATCTTCTGGTAGTGGCATAATTGCTAGATGTTGGTGTCGTATTAGTGTCACCTTCATCAACTACATCTCGTCCACTTCCACCTTCTTCAATGTCACGAATACCTTCATCCAACCAACCTAAATTATCAGGTGGTAAAATTGATTCCTCCCCTTCTCTTATCCACTCATCTAATATATCCTCATCATTAAAAATATAGTTCAGATCAATTGGATTATAAAAATCATCATTTTCACGCTGATATGTCAAATTTTTAACTTGCAACCGCATAGTGTAGTGCACAAAAACTAGCTTATGTAGCTTTTTCATTGCCAATCGGTTGCGAAGTTTTGTATGGATCAACGACCATGTACTCCAATTTCTTTCACACCCCGATGATGAACATGATTGGCTTAAAATTTTGACTACAATTTTTTGCAGATGGGAAGCTTCTTCACCATAATTGATCCACCATTCAGCTACAAAAAAAAAAAATTGTACAATATTAGTATTGTCCATAAGAGTAACAAATGATACTTTACTAAATACATATAGTTTAAATAATAAACCTGGAAGGGAGGCATGTACAATTTTTCTAGTGAGTGCATTCTCAAACTCGCCATGTTTGTTAGTATATAATTTGATCTGCAATTTATTGTGTAATGTATTACGTAAACGACAAATATATACACATATTATAATAAAAAATTATCAAAAATCATCATACCTCGTTCATTGCCCTTGCTTGTTTATTCAAATCTAGTTCCAATCCTTTAATAACCTCTTTCAAACCAGATCTTACCTCAGGATGGTTGGAAAATTGATTAGAATACTAAAAAACTGGATTTAAGAAATAAGCTGCAAAATTTTTGATAATTTAATGTAAGTTAGTGAAAAACTATAATATTTTACAAGCTAATACACAATGATCAACTATTTATATTTTTAAATACTTTTACCTGCTGCATGTAAGTGTCTGTGCAATTGGATCTCCTATCTTTTGTCAATCACAACCCAGTATTTCTTCCAATTTTTGACTGAATGTTGTATGGCTAGTTTAGCCCTGTCCATTGCCTCATAGATAATTGATAAAGTTGGTTTTTTGTCTTGATCAACTATTTTTAAGACTCTAACAAGAGGCTCCATGACAGATTAAACTTCTCTAGCCTTCTTCCAAAATTGGTCAGTCAAAATAAGATTTGAGACTATATCTCTTGTTTTTCTCCTCTTTTTGTCTTTGTTGAACTCACGCCATTCATCGATGGTACACATTCTTTTCAAGTCCAATTCATAACGAATAAGACTTTCAATGGCGATAAATTCAGTGGTGTTATACCTGGTCTCAATAAATCTCTATCTCGGGTATGTTGCTTCATTAAGTTGACCACTTTGAGACTGTTGTAGATAAAAGATGTGATCGTCTTAGCATCATCTATGGTCTCCTTGATTGCTTTCATATGACCAATATCTTCTAGCATCAAATCAATACAATGAGCTGCACAAGGAGACCAAAATAAATGTTTTCTTTTATCCATCAACATCTTACCAGCTGCTTTAAAGCTTGCCTCATTGTCGGTTACTACATGTACTACATTTTCTTCTCCAATTTCATCAACTTTATCCATAAGAGAAAAAATATAGTCAGCAGTTTTTGAAATATTTGTGGTATCAATTGATGTATGGTAAATCATATTACGGTCACAATAAATCATGAAATTGATAATGGGTTTTTTTTGTTCTAGAACTCCACCCATCAGACATGATTGTGCAACCATACTGAGGCCATTTTACCTTCATCGAAGATATATACACATCAAGCTCTTGAACCTCCTCCTCCAAATAAGAACTATCAATTTGATATCCTGTGGGACCCTTTATTCTGGGCCTGCATCCGCAATAGTGTCAATCATTGACTGATAGTAAGGCCCACTATCAGCTGCATTGAATGGTATGACATTGAAGAGGAAGAACTTCGAAATAGCTTTTTCCACTTTTTTCAGGTTCGCACCTGAGAACATGCCTTTTACTGACTTTTGTTTCGACGGGAACATGTACGGATCAAGGCCACTTACAGGCATGCTTGCAGCTTCTTTTGTGCTATAGCTACGTGGTGGTTCGCGCTTGATTCCTGAGCTTGATGGTTGTGATGATCGACCGCTTGCATTTGATACAGAGTGCCTACGACCCTCTTCCTCCATCCAAGCCATTTGACGACTTTCCTTCATTGCATGCTTTAACTGTCTTCTTTCAAAATCACCATCTTCAATTTGATTCTCACCATCATCATCATCGG